TATACATTTAAATAAATTAGTTGTAAAGTTTAATAAACCAATATATTTGGGAATGACCATTTTGGATATCAGTAAAGTAATAATGTATGATTTCCACTATAATTATATGTCAAAATTTAAGAACAAAAGATTTCTTATGACAGATACAGATTCTTTAATGTATTCTATAGTTACAGAGGACTTTTACAAGGAAATAGAATGTGACTTGCACTATTTTGATACCTCTGGATATAGTAAAGACCATTTCTTATATTCTGATAAAAATAAAAAAGTCACTGGCAAGTTTAAAGACGAATTAGATGGTCATATTATGTATAAATATTGTGGTTTAAGGCCAAAGTTATATTCTTACATTCCTCTAAAATGGTTATATGAAGAAGACAAGCAAGCTTTAGAGATGAAGAAAGCTAAAGGAGCTGATAGTGCCACTGTTAAACATCTCCTCAGACATCAACATTATTTGAACTGTCTTGCAACTGGGCAAGATTACTATGAGAATGTGACAAGAATTAAATCTATAAATCATCATCTTCAAACCTTAACCATGAATAAGAAAGTACTATCATTTGACGATGACAAGAGGTTTATTCTGGAAGATGGCATCAACACCCTTGCTCTTGTTCATTATAAAATTGATCAAACATAGTTAGGTTAATAAATAAATTGTATGTGTAGATATATTTAATGCTGCAAAATAAATGCAAATGTTAAAGAACTTCAACCAGGACGTGATTGAGCCATGCGAACGAGATCATCTTGAAAATTAAGAAGTTAAACGGGGCAAAGCCCGCGGGTTACAGCTAGTATTTAAAAAAAAATATTAGTTGTTATCTTCCGGTCGCGCATGTCCTCTAAAAGTTGAACAAAAAATGAAAAAACTCAATCAAAATGTAATACCGAAAATCTGTTTGTACACATTCAAGGGCTGTAAAACGCTTTAATAACTTCAGTTGTCTGGTTTAAAGTATTTTCTATCCCATTGTAACATTTTTTTAGCTGTAATAAAACACTGAATTGTATAAACATTCTCTTAAATTCATTTTTCCTACACATTGTGGTGATACATTGGCTATTTTTAGCATATGATGGGTTAACCTAAAAATTGGTAATCCAAAACGGCTCTCCCCCTTTTATTTCGGTTAACCGGGGTTTTACTGTGCTCGATTTGCGAAGGAAAGCGGCTGAACGGAGTTCCGGTACCTCTCTTTAGGAAAAATAAAAATATTGTCATAAATAGGTACTAATCACATTAAATAGGTAATAGTTACGGCACCTTATTTTTTTTAATCGAGCACTGTATATATTTATTTATTTATATATATACTAGCAATTACCCGCAGCGCGTTGCTGAGCTTTATAACTATTATTTTAAATAGTAATTTGTTCTTTACGATGAATAATAAAAGTGTATACCAAAAATAAAAATAGAATATTTTACTTAATTGCTAGTGGATAAACAATGTTTTTTGTTTTTTCATTAGGTGTATAAATATATAAGTTTTCAGGCGTACCTACCACCACGTGAGCAAGCAACATACAGCTGTCCGTGTAAAAAGCATGCATTTTCTAAATTTAAACCGACGATAGTCAGGGATTGCCCTAGTGTCTTATAATGGTGATTGCGAAAAAAAGACACAAAGTAAATTGTAGTTGCTTAAATTCAGATGAAATAATCCGTATTCTTGGGATTAAGACTATTTATCCTTTAAACTTACCACTGATAATTTTTGCTTCAATCAATTTTGGTGTAATTTTTTTAATCGTCACATCTGGTAACGTTGCACAGCTTTGGTAGATTTAAGTTTCACATTAGTATTATTGGAGTTCCTTCTTTTAATGACAGTAATGTGGTGGGTTAATGACAAATTGAGAGGCATTAGAATACCCGAGATAGCACGCACGATTTTTATTCGCTTGATAATGTATGTTACATTGTGTGGGTATAGAACAAAAGATAAAAATATTAAGGCATTGCCATCCCTTTTATTGTTTATAATACTTTGATAAAGGTGTTTATGTTTACATATTTAACATTGGAGAATTTAATCGTTGTTGAGTGCACAGGTGGGCTACAATTTATTGGGGTTTAATATATTTTGACTTATTCAAAAGTAAAATAGTTTTCTGTGCTGCACTCTGTAGAAACATTGTGGAACTATTACAAATCATGACTAATACAGAATGTTGTGATTATTCAAACCTAGAAAACAGTTGGTTAAAGTAAACATGATTTACATTGACCAAAGAATTGCTACGCACCATAAAGCTTTCTATAGACTTTTCATTAACATAATAAGTTAGCCCACATTGAACTCAAAGTCATTTCTTTCTTAATAAAGATAATTCCTAATTTGTGTTTTATTTCTGTCTAATGAGGTAAGTCTTTATCTTAATCTATAATATATGAATTATTTTAAGAATAAATAGATTTGGTAAGTTACAATATAAAATTTATTAATGAAATACAAATATAAGATAAGTTATTGGTTGAATTAGCTACAGGGTCTAAGTTAACAATGGTAAATTTTCAAAATGGTGGGGCTTCCAAAGTGGATGAAAAGATCCTAGGCTTTTAATGGGTTGGTTTCTTCTGAAGTACTAATTAATATTTAAATATGAGCTCTTAATCTCAGAAAGGGGTGGTCGTGCCGGTTCGAATGATATATTAGGCTTCTTTAAAATGCAGATAATTTAATTAAGTTATTGTTCTGAAATAGGCTACGTTCATGATGCTTTTAATATAATATGTTAATGTCCAAAGAAAGATTCCAAATGGTTTCACTGAATTTAATGAAATAAAATAAAATTTGAAGATTAGATTTTGAATAAAAGTTCAATTTGAAATATGTATAGCTTGATGAGTTAAGTTAATTGGGCCTATTAGGCTATGCTGATTAAATGTCCAATGAAGATTAAATTTTTCCTTAGCTAAACAAGATGGATGATGGTTACCAAATTTGGAGTGCCTGTCTTCACCTTTGTATCATATGTAATAAATAAAATAGGGGTTGGTTAAAATTTGATACTCTTCAAGGCACTTGTCCCGAATACTTTTGGATGATAAGAAATTTAAAATTTAGATTATACTTTGGGATTATGAATTTAATTTAAATCAAACACAATGTCCAATAAAATGATGTTCACACTGTGAAGAGTTGGCAGGATCTGGGGAGAGGCAATGGTTCAAGCTCAGGAAGTCCATGTCCATTGTTGAAATGATGTACAGCTGGTTAATTTACATAAATGACACTTGCCACAGTAATTTTGATTTTCTTTGGATAATTTTGAAAAATAATACTATAGCCTATTTAAGATGTTATTATTATATTGCAATTTTCTTACAATTATATATTATTCTAAGTAAATGATTATTGTTGGATTTTTTTTTATAAGTACAGGATAGATATGGAGAGAATTAGCATAAATATTATATTTTGTAACATAAAATAGGATGATGTTTCTGTGGGGTGGTGGTATATTATATAACATTGAACAAAATTGGATAAAATAACACATTAACAAGGAGGAACATCCTACTAATATTATAAATGAGAAAGTTTGGATGTATGGATGTATGGATGTATGGATGTATGTTTGTGACAAGTGAACGCGAACAATACTGGTCGGATTGGGCTGAAATTTGGCATGATGATAGCTCACATTCCCGATTAACATATAGGCATATTCTTATTTCAAAAATCCTTTCGGGCTCCGCCCCAGTGGCTCTGGAGTTTCCCATGTTAACCTTATGAGAAATGAAATTATTGAATCTTAACAGCTGTTTCAATTAAACAAGTTGGTTCTGTTCTGTGATGTTCAATAGCATTAAAGTTACAAAAATTACCAACAGGGTGCAGCACTATTATTTCTTTTACATTTATGACAACAGCTAATTTGCAACCAAAAGGTGAGTGAGCGTAGCGAACGAACTTCAACCTGGAGGCGAGTTAGCGTAGCGAACGAGCTAACCTGAAGGCAAGTGAGCGCAGCGAACGAGCTCCAACCTAAAGGTGAGTGAGCGTAGCAAACGAGCTCCAACCTAAAGGTGAGTGAGCGTAGCGAACGAGCTCCAACCTAAAGGTGAGTGAGCGTAGTGAACAAACTTCAACCAGGACGTGATTGAGCCATGCGAACGAGATAATCTTGAAAATTAAGAAGTTAAACGGGGCAAAGCCCGCGGGTTACAGCTAGTATTAAATAACTGATAACACATTATCAGGGGCATTAGCAGACATTATGGGAGAAAATATACAAAATAATAGAGAAATTAATGTTAATGATGAATGAATGACATGTAATATTACAGAATACTCTTAGAGTATAGTGATAAAGTTCCCCGAGCAAAGCTCGGTCCCCAGGTACTTATATTTATTCGTAAACATTGTAGTTAAAAAAGTCTGACATTAGCCCACTTAAAACTCTCTTTTGACGGATCTGCACCAAACTTGACACAAACCATCCTCGAAAGATGCTTAATAATGCCTGTGAGTTTCATTACAATCTGTTCCTAGTCAGTTGCCTACTACATAGTTCCTCTTTTATAGATATATAATATATTTATAAATTTGAACGAATAGTGTTTTTAAATCAACTCTGGTGACATGAAAATGAATAATGAATAAATTATGAATAAAATGAATAATGAGGTAATTGACTAAAAATTGAAGAAAATTAATTTTAAAGTTTGAATTGTATTGTAATTTTGTCTATTTTTCCTTTTTTCTCCCTAAATCACATGAACTTAAGCCGCATTTACGCGAAGCCAGTTGGTGAGCAGGTTACTTCCTTTAGATAACTTGAAATACATTAGAGGCAAGTAACCTGCCTACTCTACTGGTCTCGTGTAAACAGGGCTTTAAGAAAGTGTTACTTATTTTAATTTTATTGTATGATAATTTTTGTAACCTAACATTTTGACATTAAAAACGAGTCTTTAATCATTAAAATATTTACTTGATTATAAAAACCACAATGATCATATTTATATTAATTCTACTCACAAGTACATAGTTGGCATATTCGTTGTAACCTCTGGTTTTTTTCAACTCTTCTTCAATCAATAGCTTGCAGATATCAAACTCCTTACGAACATAACGTAAATGAATCAACCAGTTACGAGCAGTAATTGAGAAAAACTCAGCACCTGCCAAAAAATGTTAACATGAGATTACAAATAACTGTAGAGGAGGCTGAAGATAGCGAACCACATTTTTACAGTTAGTTTGATCGAATAAGTTAATTGTCAGGGTTATCAAGTGGTTAATGCTTGCCTTCAGATTTGAAAGATGCTGGTTCAAGACCCAGATGTTGATTGTCATTTATTAGGCTGATATCTAACCAATGATCGACATTAGATAGTAAAAATACTTTGGACCGTTCTCTTACTTAAAGGGTTTATTTAAAGGGTTAAGGTAGAGAACTTTAATTATTTGCGGTCCCAAAGCTGTGATGATTTCTAATATCCTTGATATTAAATACTTTGATCAGCTGTCCTGGTTACCATGCAAATTTGATAAAAAATCTAATAAATAAAGCCTTGGAATTTGTAAAAGGTGTATTCATTATTTCAACACTACTTTAAAAATTCCATTATGATGTTAATAGGTTGTAAAAATGCATATTATGTTGTTGCCAAATATATTAATTGATTATGTAATGTTTCTACTGATTCAATACTGAAAACTTTAAACTAAATAAGCATGCAAATCATACTGAATCATCACCAAAATCGATACCTTTGTCGATTGTTCCCGTAGGCCTGGGAACAGCAGATAGATTGTGACCAACTTGCCCACTGGAAATACTTCCATTCAAAGATGAATGATTCATGATTCAAACTGCAAAATGTTTAAGCATCTTTTTAAATTTTAGAACTATAAAAACATCAATTTAATTCTAAATATACTAATAATATTAGCTTAGATATACTAGAGGAGTAACAGTTTTTTATAAAAAAAAATGAACTGGAACTTAACTATCAAAACACGGTATCTGTGTTATATTTTGTTTCCAGAAACCCGTAATGTGAAAAGAAGATCTAGTATATTTTTACTAAAAGTCTTCTTTTAGAAAAATAAACTTGATTTTCTTTGCTAACGAATTTATTTATTTATTCCAACGGCAAGATCACCATTTTAAAATTTTGTAACTGTTTAGTTTTAGCGAATTTCCCTATAGGGAAGTAGCTATTACCGTAGGTCTCATGGTAAGACCTAAGCCCGGGACCGATTTACTTTTTCATTTTGATGTCCCCAGAGGCCAAAAACACCATTCGTTCAAATTTTTATATATCTATATATAGATATATATATATATATATATATATATATATATATATATATATATATATATATGTGTGTCCATCCGCACGATAACTTGAGTAATTTTTGTCCGATTTTGATAAAATTTGGTTTGAAGGTGTAAGGCAGGATAAACTTGAACGAGTTCGCGAACCAGCATGATCGGACTATGGGAACGGGGGTTTATGGGGGGTTTTATGGGGTAAAAATAGGTTTTTCCCATTTTTGACCCTAAAAACACAAAATTTCACAATTTCTTTTAAAACCATTTTGTAGAGCTTAAAAAAACAAATAATTTAGTATATTGAAGCGTTATTATGCGCCTAATTGTTACGGAGAAAATTCAAAAAAATTGTAATTTTAAAATTCCCATGTTATTCTTATGGAGAATAAGTCAGCTGTTGTAGTTTGCTTGTTTATGAACATATTTTGATTGATTTTGGAAAATACTTTTATTTCTTACTAAACTATTTATAAAAAAAATCTTTTTTACCCTCCCTGTTGCAGCAAACCTAAGTACTCGTTAAACTAATTCTATTTAAATAGGAAATAAATGTGCTATTTTTATGAAGGCATTTTAGTGTAAATCCAATCAGGTTAATGGAAATTCGCTTAGTCTGCAGGTTTGCTGCGGCGGGGGTATTATTTAATTAGTTTTAAATAAAGGAGACATTTTTTAGCAACATTAAAAGTTTCTATTTATAAAAACATAACAACAACTTATTTGTAAACAGATGTAAGATAAACATGAAGAATCATATGTTATTTTAAAAGCATAGAATATCTATCTAATTTCTATATATCTAATTCCGTAAGCCCAAAATTTTACAATGAAATTGTGAGCGAACGGGAGGCCGTAGAAAGCTAAGTGGGGTCTCATTTTAAAGGTCTGGGCATGAAATTTTGGGGAAAATTATTCATTTTTCTTAATTATGCACCAAAAGGTTGTTACGGAATAAAATAATTCACATTTAAATAGCATGGGAATCTAATTTTATGTCTTTTTATTTAGTGTAAACACAGCTGTGATTATATCAAATGAAAAAATTATAACCACACCTGAATGTGCATTATTTTGTTATTGTAAAATTGTTAGTGAAGTAGTAAACAACACAAAGTGAAAATTAAAATTAGATAAGCTATTTTTAACAAACAATTTGATACTTTTAAACTTAATACTTTACAATGGATTGTTCTTTTGCACAGTAATAATGTATAATGTCGGAAAACCACCACGCAGAGGTAGGCCGTTACGCAGACGTATTGCTCCTCGAAATTAGAACAACAGGCTCCAGATTAGGTGCGATACTAAAGGAAGAAGAATAAATGAGCATCGGATGAACATGAAGTTATTCCTGTGTATGGATTACCTTTTAAATTAGATTGCATAACACAGCGTAGGACCGATGAACGATGTGTGCATTCATTGTGGTGCATTGCGAAATTTGATTTTGTGAAATTGTGGCGCAAGACCGAACCTTCACAAAAGTTGGCATTTACTGCATTTAAAAAACCCAGTGTTTACTCATGGTCAACTTTATATTGCCTTCAGGCGGGTAAAGCGGCCAGATGATGTTAAAATAGTACTAGAACCAAATAAAGACCAAGGAATCGACCAAAATGCAACAAATACAACAAAACTGTTGTTTTCGGAGAGATTTTGTTATAGAATTAGCATTTTACAATTTGGATGATGACATTGTCTCTATGTGTTTTTCTAAGTGGATTCGTCTATATTTAAAGAAATCCAAGTAGATTTAATTAACAGTCATTAAGATTATTATTGTAAAATGTTCCTTTCTATTATGATTAGAAAGTTTATAAACACACCAAATGTCCTTTAAAATTTTTTATTTTAAACAGAGCAGACATCAAAATCCATGTAAAAACTATTATACATATTATAGGTAATATACAAAAATTTCAAACGATAATTCAAGATAGGGTAACCCATGAGGCTAATAATTTGTACAAAATAATTACTAGAATATAATATAGGGGCTATTGCTCATACAAGCCACTAGTTAAATATCAAAACATCTTCCCCTTTGACAAATTCAACTTTTCATTTTCTTATGAAAAGTGAGTTTCTTCTGGATTGTTTTCCATTTTTATATTGCACTACGTATGATCTTGGAGTTTCACCAACTTTTACTATGATAGCTGGCTCCCAGTTCTTGGTCCGAACATCTTGTACATAAATGGGATCCTTTTCATTATATACTGTTTCTTGTTTTGTCGTCTTATCATAATAAGATTTTTTGATTGATTCTTTTTGACTGCATTTGATCTGCTACATCTTGATGAAGAATTATCTTTGGCCCTAATCTGTGATTTGGAAAAGGTAATTTTTTTGATCTTAATACCCTCCCCATTAGTAACTGAGCTGGAGAATAATCAAGTCCTGCAACAACACTGTTTCTGTAGTTAAGTAGGCTCAAATTTAGATCTGATCCTGATTCTGAGGACGTTTTTATAAGTTTTTTAGCAATACCTACAGCTTTTTCTGCTAAGCCATTGGCTTGAGGATAGTTAGGACTTGTAGTTTGTATTTTAAAATTCCACTCCTTTGCAAACTCTCTTAGTTCGTAAGAATCAAAAGGCATGTTGTCAGCTATCATAATCTGTGGAATCCCAAATCTACCAAATATTTGGACTGCATTCTTTACGGATAAACTGTTTTTACTATTAATTTTGACCACCTCTAACCATCTAGAGTAGAAGTCAACAAGTATCTATTGAAGCAATTTCAATAAGCCTGTTTAGAATGTCATATGAATTATAAAACATATGACATTATTTACTATGTGTAATTGTTCAGTTTGTATTGGTGTTTTGATCTGTTCTGTCTATCTATCTTCTATCTATAATATTAAAACGAAACAGTGTTTTTAGCGAATTTCCCATATAGGGAATAAGCTATTACCGTAGTACTCATGGTAAGACCTGGACCCAGGACCGATTTTTTTTTCGTTTTGAGGTCCCTAGAGGCCAAAAACACCATCCGTTCAAATTCATATATATATATATATATATGTCCGTTAGCGCGATAACTGGAGCAAAAATGATCCGATTTTGATGAAATTTGGTACAAACGTGTAAACCTACGTTTATTCGAACGAGTTCGCGAACCAGCATGATCGGGCCATGGGAACGGGGGTTTATGGGGGCTTTTATGGGGTAAAAATGGGTTTTTCCAATTTTTGACCCGAAAAACATAAAATTTTGCAATTTCTTTCCAAACTATTTTGTAGAGCTTAAAAAAACAAATAATTTAGTATATTGAAGCGTTATAATGCGCCTAATGGTTACGGAGAAAATTCCAAAAAATTTTTAATTTAAAATTACCATGTTATTCTTATGGAGAATAAGTAAACTGTTGTAGTTCGCTTGTTTATTAACATATTTTGCCTAAATTTGGAAAATGTTTTTATTTCTTACTAACTATTAACATTTTACATAAAAAACACTTTTACCCTCCCTGTTGCAGCAAACCTAAGTATGTGTTAAACTGATTCTTTTTAAATAGGCAATAAATGTGATATATTTAAGGAGACATTTTAGTGTAAATCCAATCAGGCAAATGGAAATTCGCTTAGTCTGCAGGTTTGCTGCGGCGGGGGTATTTTATTTCAAGATTCTGAATCAACCACTAGACGGATTTTTATGATTTTTGTGTTGAAAGAAAGATAATTTTGAGAACTAGGGAATGTCGAAGCCATAATTTTAGTTTAGGTCCCAGTTTTTTAGAAATTAAGTTTTAATTTTTAAAAAGTCTAGCAGCCGACGCTAAGATTCTAAACTAGCTTTTGGCATAAAATAATTTGCTTAACATAACAGCTGTAAACATTCAGCTTTTGTGTCACAAATTCAGCATTTGGAAAAAATGTAAAGACATACTTAGGGTTGACTTATTTATACTATGTGTAATGCTGCATTACACATGCTAATCATTGATACGTTCAATTCTTCTGTAAGAGGATGACAGTTTAATTAAATATACATAGTAAAATACTAGGATGATCAAATTATTTTTTAAAGCAATCTTTGTAATCTTCGATTTGTTTTAGAGCAATGTAATTTGTTTTAACTAACAGCTGGTTAAATATAAACTATGGAACTATGAGGTTATTTTATTTACTCTTATTTTGTCATTGATTATAGGAAATAAGCAAGATTAGTAGAGATAATTAGACCACGGTTTAAACCACAGTTTTAACCAAAATTAATTAAACCGCAGTACAAATCGAGGCTCTGTACACGAGTCTTAATAAAAAAAGGATAAATGCAAATAATTTCACTGCTCCACTTTTCAAGGAAAGATTAGAAAAATAACAATGTTTACATGTTTTAATTCTTAAAGGTAGCTTTTTGTTTACAATTAATGTTTGTCTGCTTTAACTTTGTTTGGATTAGGCCCGGAAATATTGATGTCATAAAAAGAAGATCAAGAATAATCAGGAATCACGATTTTAAATTACCACCACAACCTCAGCCGGGTTTTATACAAAGATAAACAGATGGATGACATAGATTTA